ATAAACAGAATAAAACATTTCAGAAGGTCAATGTTTTTCTCACCAATAATCGTAATCCATAATTTTTATTATCTTTTCGTAAACTTCGGCATACTCAATAAGCTTCTGAAAAAGTAATAAAACTTCTTCGGTAGTTTTCTCTTTTTCTTTCTTTCCTTTAACTTTTTCTTCATAAATCCGATATAGTTCATCTCTTTTTGCGACTGCCATTGAGATACCAAAACAACTTATTAAGAAAGAGGCTAGAAATCTTCCTACTTCCGTATTTTCTACTTCTTTACTAGAGCAAGAAGAAACCCTTTTTACTACTTCGCTATTCCACCTTTTGAAAACTCGTTCTTGATTATACAAGGAGTCGGAACGACTAATAAATAAACTTTTTACTAAATCTGAAATGCCTAATTCTAGTCCAGTGGTATTAATAACTCTAAAAATTTCTCATGGATCAGTTTCTTCATCAATGATGATTAGAGAAAACAAGAACCTATCTATTACTGTTTGATAAATACTTAATCGCTTCTCTTGATCCATTTTCTCTATTTCTCGAGAAAATCATTTGTTAACTTCAAAAATGTTTCCTTCCCCTTCAAGTTTTTGTTTTCATCCTAACACATTAGCCGAGATACACTTTTGGAAATTCTCTTGGTCATCTTGGTTATTTAATATCATCCGCAATTGGTTTTTTTTCCAAAACAAAAAGTCATTTATTTTATTTTCAATTTCCTCATTATCAAGTCCAGAGATTTTTTTGTAAATAACTGAAAGAAGGATAAAAATGGTGATTAACCTTTGCTGACCATCAATTATGTCATAAATATTTCCTTCCTCATCATTATTTTTTTTGGCTAGAATAATGTCTCCAATGAACCAAACATCTGATTGTGCTTCTTTTTTAATAAGATCTTCTATGCTTTCAAGAAAAGTTTCTCAATTTTTTTTGCCTCAACTATATTCTCGTTGATATAAAGGTAAAGAAAAATAAGCAACTTGCTCTTTTTCCATCAATTCTCTAAAACTACTTTTTTTAATCTTGGGTGTTTTCATCAGCGACTATTTCTCTTTTTTTTCTAGTTAAGAGATAAACAATTATTCCCACCACTAATATTCCGACTACTGCTAATCCAATATAAAGAGCCTTATTGGATTTTTCAGGAGAAGTAGGTTGATTACTACTTTGCTCTAAATCAGATAAAGAAAGATTATTTTTTCCTACCTTGGATAAATAAGATTTAATTTGTTGAAATTCTGAACTGCTGCTGACTGGTTTAGTTTCCGTTTTAGAACCTTGGTATTCAATTATCAGTTTATCACCTTGAAGAGTGATGGATTTGATGCTGTTTTGCTTGAAATAGTTCAAAATTGTCTCTCTCTCTCTCTCTCTCTCTCTCTCTCTTGGTTGTTGTCTTCTTTATTTCCTTTATCCAATACTAGTTCTCCATTTTCATAAGCAAGAGTTGTTTTGTTAGTTCGCTGTAAATAATCTTTAATTGGTTTAAAATTCGAACCATAATTTTGATTTTCCATATCAGAAGATTTGATTTTTAACTCTTCTATTTTTCCATCTATTTCTTGAGTGAGAATTAGATTTCCATCACTTTCTAATTTGGCTTTGATTAATTTACAAGTTTCAAATATTTCTTTAATAGTTGAACAATTTTTACATCCAATTCCACTAACGAGATCTTTACCACATTTATCACATTTCTGACCATCTTTGCTCCCCTTTTCTTTTACTAGTCAAACATTACCATCTCTGCTACATAATTCTACATGATAATCATTTACACAATAAGCACATCATCCATCCGTGTTTATTTTTTTGCCAGTAGTTTTATGAACTATCTCATGAGGATCAGGGCAAGTATATTTCGTTTGTTGGCATTTGTTGCATTGTTTATTACTCATAGCATCTTATATAATAAATTTTACAAGAGTCAATTTAGTTGGTATTTTAATTTTGGCTTAGTTTGTTTCTTATTTCATCCATTATTTCTTTCAAACCAGGAAAACAAGGTTCTAAAACTTTTTTTTTTATACTTTAAACATTCAGCACAAAGATTATTATCCTCCTCGATACCAGTTAAAAGAAAAAGTTGATAGCGAGTTATTTCAGTAATTATTTTATCATCCAATACCTTTTCGTAAAAATAACCTGCGACAATTTTCGTTCATCCTACTAGTTTACAACATTTGGTGTTTTTGCTCTCACTCATGAGGGGATTATAGAACTATTTTAGAGAGACAAGAGAGGAGAGTTTTCTTCATTAAAATGAAACTAATATAACATATGGCACGAGTAAAAAAGAGGTTAATATTAGTTCTAAAAGGTTGATGATTTACGCTAATTCCGATTGATAATAAAGAAATTGAAAGTTTTTACGACCCTCATTGAAATATCCCTAAAGACTGACAGAAAAATTGGCTAACCCAAATTAGCAATAAATTAAAGGGACAGGAACTAAAAAATATTTTGGATATTATTGGGGAAAAGAAAATTCGCCAAACTTATCAGTTAGAAACTGAGAACCGTCGCCTAATTCAGACTTATTTAAAGGAGAGGAGGAAAGAAGAAAAGGAAGTCAAGAAAGTGGCTAAAAAAGAACAGCAAGACAAAAAAGATTTAGCCAAATATGGAATTAAAAAAGAATCTTTAACTTGGGAAGATATTGCAAAAGGAACTAGAGAAAATTATGAGCCAAAAAAACGCAACCAAACCTCAAAAAAATAACTGGTGAAAAACTTTATTAATAGGTTGAGTGGGAAAAACTATTTTATTATTTTTGCTACTACTTCTCTTTCTTTTGTTGTCCCGCTCCCAGATTAATTGATTAGTTAAAGTAAAAAAGATATTAACTTTTGTTCTTAATACTTTTCTTTTTGCTACTTTGGGAATACTAGCCGGAACGATTCTTTATTCTCTTTTGGCACGGCGAGGAGTAATAATTATTGACAATACTCCCGAATTTCTCAATTTTTGTAAAAACAGTAATGGTCTAGTTTTTTGGGGTCCTTATGGTTCAGGAAAAACCGCTTTAATGGCTTTATTGGCTCATGAGTTACCGGAAGAAAATAAATATGCTTCTTTTCCTTGTAATCTCCCTTGGATGGAAAGATCACAAATCGATTTCTCGGCTGACCCTACCCAACCTCTGGGAGTTAAAGAGATTATTTTCTTAGATGAGATAAATTTGTTATTTAAGGGCAATGAATTTCAGAAAGCCCGTGAACGAGAAAGATTTATGAGTCACTTTTACGCTCTTTCGCGACACCAAGGTACCCAAATATTTATCAATGGCCAGCGGTTAGGGCAAGTGTGAATAGAGTTGCGAGAGGTGGCAACCGCAATATGCCAAGTTAGTTTATTACAAAAGTCCGACGAAGGAATTTATGTGCAGGTAGAAATTTGGCAAGCGAGTGCTTGAAGTCAAGAAAAAACCGAACGAGAATTTACGGTTTTTATCCCAAAATTGATTTTAGATACTTATAATTCGACTTGGTTAAATAGTCTAAAACATATACGGGTCGGGCAAGGTTATATTTAAAAGTTAAGAAAAATTAAAGAAGAGTCAAAAAAATAAGGTTTATTTGCCCTATTATAATAATAAAATTAATTTATAATATTACAGCACCATTTTTTAATAATTGATTTCCACCTTGCTAAATTATGAAAAGAACTTTCAAATACTACTTAAAACTTAATAAAGTTCAAAAACAGAAGTTAGACCATATTCTAGAACTC